ATAAAAAATGAGATTTGATATATAAATAAGGTAACATAATTTATATTACATTTTCACTAATTTTAAAATAACATTATCTGTAGTACAATTAATATGTAAAAGTTGTCTGTACTTATTTATTCGATCTAAATAAGGGGTAGTCCATGCAGCAGCAGAAATAAAAAAATTGTGGAGTAATAGTAGGGATCGGGTATCCTTCTGCCTAGTATAGTTTCACACAATGGTTACGATTAATGTACCCAATTGCAAAACTTACATGTTGATACCACGGTGGCGGAGTTGACCTAAGCGGTAAGTATATTGAACAACATGTAATATCTATAACGTGTAAGGTCACATTATACTTTGAAACAATTAGGACACTAATTTCAGGCATTGTCATCTATAACCCATGTTTTTAATGCATTTGTTATCTCTTTTATCTTCCTAAGAAAACTAAATTATTATCGTGACAAGAATATCATTATCGTGATTTTATCATAAAACTATCATTTATCCGTATTCCGATAATATTAATTGTTGACATTTGTTTTTGTGTGTATTCAAAAACAGAAAAAGATGGTAAGTGGTCTTGCATGTTTTTTCTTTCTTACTCCCTAATGTTCTTTGCTTATATTCTTCTTTTTTTCTATCATGTAAACTCTCTGTTAAATAGAAGTTTAGAATCCAACTCACATCTGTAAATTGTAAAACGAAATGGGAGTAATTAAATCAAGAAACATAGTGTCTAGGGTTAGGTCGGGAGGGTCTCTTAACGCCTTCTTGAAGGAGAAGGAGGAGGAAGAGAAAATGATATTAGTGTTAGAAATGAAATAAGGTATGGATAATATGTAAAGGATAATATATATATATATATATATATATGTATGTGTGTGTGTATATATATATATATGCAGATATATGTATTAATGTATATATATATATATGTGTGTGTGAGTGTGTATATTAATTTATAGATTAAAATGTTATGGAAAAAAGATGTATAACATCTACTTAGAAATATTATCCGTCCAAGCTTTGAGAGATTTGAAATACTACTTATCGTAGAAATACTACTTATCGTAGAAATACTTACATTTTTAAAGTCACTATATTTTTAACATAATTTTAAATATAATATTATAATTACTGAAAACAATTTAAAATTAATCAAAACTTGTATTTATATTATRTTYATAAAAAATSAYTTTTAWATTGAMRTTTTTAAAAATATTTAAATAAYTAGGATAWARTTCTAATACTAATGCATATATATATATATATATATAATAAAAATATAAAAGTATAAATAAAAATTATGTATTATATATATATATAATAGTTATATAATATAACTTAAAATCATAATTACAAATAATAAATAAATATATATATATATATATAAGTGTGTGTTTATGTATATAATAATAATAATATATAATATATTATTGTTTGAATTTGACATTTGATGGACTTAAAGTAAATATAGTTGGGTACCCGCGCAATGCGGCGGGATGCAAAAGTTCTATTAAAGATAAATTCAATTTTTAGATACCACATAAAGTTGAAAGCAACATAATAAACTTGGTGTTGTAATCCATGAAAATGCAGATTGAAAACAACAGTAAAAAGCAAATTCAGTTTTTGAATAATATTTACATCTCAAGACAATGTCATTAGAAACCAYTGTTGCACCAACATATATATAATTCAAAGCAGGGGTGGGTAATAATAGTAGATCAATTTTTAAACATCTTCATTATTATCCACCAAATCATCGTCCACATTTGTTCCAACCATCAACCAACACTGGTGCCATTGATTTTATTACAACTGTAGGTGAACACAGTTTCRTATGTTCTCGTCARTCTAAAAGACTGAACCACTTTKGTTTTGTGAGAATGTTGAACCACAAAYCYACCAAAATCTTTCAGTTTGGCTATCCACAGTACTCRRTGGTCTCAATATTAGAGAAGTAGTTTGGGCTTYAGGTTTGGATCMTACCTTATACATTTTAACTCTACAACCTTTCAATCGAMATTAAAGTCATCRAATCCAAATGATTGTTTTAGTATAATTTCAAACTCAAATACTAATTACATTGAACTACTACTATTCATATGTATGGGACTTTGGATTTTACATTTTAGGTTTAATTTAGACTTTATTGTAATATTCAACTCATGATTTTTTAACAGCATTAATTAAGGAAATTTCCTTATTAGGAATATATTATATACATAAAGCAAGTATAAATAACATTATGACATCAAATCATCAATCTCTTAAAATTAATGGGTTGTGAGCAAAACCAAATCTTCAACAACAACAAAAAGATCATGCATACACTCTTAATAAAAGCTTGAAAAAGGAACAAATAAATATACACAATCGCAAAAACAAAAATGAAATGATGGCACATAGAAGTCAACAGAAATTGACGACAAAGATAAACTTTAAGAAATCTCCAGATCCCCAGATCAGTTCAAGCAACTTCATTTAAACATTAAGGAAAGCTTTTACATTTAAACATTTGGTATTATCATGCATTTGGCATCTATGTAGGTATGAGTTTAAAAGAAAGTTCTTACATCTAAACATTAAAGAAAATAATAAAAATTAAAACCAATCAATAATTCATGAATATAACCCGACTATTCGAGCAATTGTTTGTCTCATCAATAGCTAGTAATAGTCACCGATACATCTTCACGTAGAAATACATCTTCATGTGAAATTTCCTAGAATTCCACCAACTACAAAGGTTCAACACGTGAACACGATAAATACAACACAACATCAACCAATGTACTCATCCATCATTTGAAGAACACGTGAAACAATATATTATATGATATGAGAAAATGAAAAGATAATAAACATCATATCCAAATTTTTGGATTGGTCTAAATCCACTGCCAAATCATTAGATAACTATAAG